ACATTCCCTGAGGGCTGCTGTGCTGGGAGTGGGCCTAAGCCAGCAGGTGGGCATCCTCCAAGGGGTCCCGGACTGCAAGAGGGCATAGGCCAGGCTGAGGGACCCCCCCCGCAAGTGCACAAATTTTTGTGCACCAGGCCTCTAGTCCTATAATAAAAGGCTAATATGCAAATTGTCCCCTCTACCAAGAGTTTGACCAGGAGGCAGGGCCGGCTGGCCAACCACCCACAGCCCCTCCCCCTGGCCAGCCCGCCCCTCCATCCTCCCCTCCTACCGATCAGGCAGGCAAGCCGGATCCCATCCATGCATGAATTCATGCACCGGGCCTCTAGTGAAAAATAAAACTAAAGGGATTGGGGGAAGAAGGAATGGGGAGTGACGTCTTAATAAGAGGGGATTTCCTTTGGGGAATGATAAAGAATAGTTTTGAAAATAGTTTCACAGCATTGTGACTGTACTTCATGCCACTGAGTTGTACACTTTAAGATGGTTAACATGGCAAATTCAATGTTATGTGCATTTTATTAGAATATAAAACACTCTGGTAACTAGGCAACAATATGAAACAAACAAACAAAAAAACCTAGTGGAGGAGTGAAGATTGGATATTTAGATAAGAGGCTATTATAGCATTCCAGGTGAGATGACAATGTGAAATAGGTGTAGCAGTTAAAAAGGAAAGCGGGCAGAGATATGAATCCCTGGGAAAACGGAATTGACAAGTCCTAGTTGATACGGGTAATGAGGGATAAAGTCAAGTTAATACTGACTCCAAGGATCCTGCTTCAGGTGACTGAACAGATAGCTAGCCATTCACTGAGGTAGGTAACAAGATATTTTACTGATGGCAAAAATTGAAAATTGCGAAGGTTAAACGTTAGTCCAACTTCACACTGTCAGAGTGCATCAGGGCTGAAATGAGAACCATCATATACACTACATTTCCATCATAGCCTCTTTTCTTTCTGCTCTCTCTTAGGTAGAAGTAAATGAAAAGTAAAATATCTCCCATTTCTCATTGTAACCTACTCACTCTCTGGTATCTTTCTATCTCTCCATATGTATACACTAATCTTAGTTGTTCACTTGCAAACTAATAAACTGTTGGGTTCAACAACAGGGTAATGGAGCTTAGCCAAGAACTTGTGATAGAAACCAGAGGGAAAATAAGAATCTTTAAGAAAGAGCCAAAAAAAAAAAAAGATAGGAATTAAAGAACAAATTACTCTAGTAAACAGAAATCCTATTTGACGATTGTGAATAAGCCCTAAAATATATATATTAGAAAATAGTAGATTTTGGGTGTTTTGTAGATCCAGATCCTTATCTTATACATTGCCAGTAGAGGGAGCTTTAATCAAGATTCCATGACTAACGCAAACTTGCCTGAAAAATATCTAGAACAAGCATGTCAAACTCAAAGGCTAACATGGGCCTAATAAACAAGGTTTAAGTTTATGTGGGCCGCAAAAAAACAAAAGCTTCAATTTTTGTAGAAACGTAGGTTTATTTCAATAGAGACATGCTGAATACAAAGGTCTGAAATAAATGAGTAATCCTTAACATAAAATAATAGAACATGTTAATAAAACTTAATATTTTTTCTTGAACAGTAACTTACCAGACACTGAATAACTGCACAAATTAATAAACATAACGCAAATAAACCTATTTTTCTTGTTCTCCAAAAAGTGAAATATTTCCTGTTGCGCACACCAAACAAGTCAGTCCAAGACTAATGACGTGGCAATCATCAGCTACTAAAATATTCGCTGTTAGTATTAGTGGAGAGAAATGGTGCACCTGCGCATAAGGCACTTAAGGGAAATAAATGCAACACGATTATAGTAATCAGTCATTAGCGAACGTTGTAGTTCATTATTAGTAATTATGTATAACAGGATATTGTAAAAATTAAGTTACAAAATTTTTATTAAAACCTTTTCTTAAATACTGTTATACTGACTGGGCCGCAAAAATATTCGTTGTGGGCCACGAGTTTGAGATGCTTGATCTAGAATGTAAGGCCACTAAAGCATAAAAGAAAGCAAATACCCCATATTATTCTACACAGTTAATCCTACCTTTCTTTCACTAAATCGTTCTCCAATGAATAGATCAAAACTCAACAAGCTATGTTTTCTAGAAGAATTGTATCACAACAATTTTAAGCATTACTCTTAATTTTTAATGCACATGGAATGATGTGTGCACTTAAGAAATGGACTGTTTAAAGGGATCATGTAATGTATCATTTTGAAAGAACCTATGCTAAACCCTTCTAATTAAAGTAGGTTTTCATATGCAAAGTTTGCTTAAAGTAAAATCATGCTACAAATCTGTAACGTTCTTCATTGGGATTGGCAGTGCGGTAAGACTGTAAGATGGTCTTATGGGAAGCTACGGATTGGCAGAACTTACCTAGGCAAAACTGTCTAATTCGTGTTCCTTGAAGGACACTAGGAAGATCCTCCCCAAAACCACCACTACACCAACAAACAGCTCACCCATCAATGCCTAAAATCCTCTCACCGGAGACTTACTCCTTTAGTTTAGGTGTTTATTACCTTCTGTCAGTAGCTCTACATGGATAAGTCCTAAATGTCTTATAAAATGGGTTTATTAAATTACTTTGTTACAGAACTGGTAACAGGTGAGAGTACAGGCAATTTGGTAGGAAGAAAACACAGGAGAGAAGTCAGGAAGGCAAGAACTGGTGAGTGATGTAGTTACGTTTTACCTATTTTCCAATGTACTCATTACTACGCCTTGTACCCCCACCACACAATCCAGAAGTTCCTGTTACTTAGGTCTTCCAGTAATTTAGAAGAGTTCTTCAACAGAAGTTTAAACCTTCAAGATCAGGTCACAGTAGTTATGTACCACAATGCATCTTCGAGATGCTGTCAGGAAAGGGAGGACGCTGGTGCCTAACCCCGCCTCACTCGTTAAGTGACCCTGGCAAATTTCTTGGTCTCCTTGGGCCTTAGTTTCTTCTATTCTATTGTAAGGCAGTAGAATGTTCTAAGTATAAAAAGTGGTGTATTTCCCGTCAATCTTTCATCATGTTTATATTGCTAATCTCTGCAGATGATTTTACCTTTCTGTTTCCTTTCTTCTTCTTCTTCTTTTTTTTTAAAAAATATATTTTATTGATTTTTTACAGAGAGGAAGGGAGAGGATAGAGAGCTAGAAACATCCATGAGAGAGAAACATCGATCAGCTGCCTCCTGCACGCCCCCTACTGGGAATGTGCCCGCAACCCAGGTACATGTCCCTGACCGAAATTGAACCTGGGACCCCTGAGTCCGCAGGCCGACGCTTTATCCGCTGAGCCTAACCGGTTAGGGCTCTGTTTCCTTTCTTAGTGATATTCCTCAACTTCCTCATTCTCTAAAATTTTCTTCCTTGTTTCCCTCCATTCCGATTCCCGTGTCACTTTTGCCACTTGTGTTCCATTATTTCCTCACATCTTCCATTTCTCCCTCTATTGGCTTCTTCCCTTTGGACTATGAACATGCTCTTCTTGCCAAACCTAAGACCACCCACCCCATGGGCTAACCTCTCTGATCTCTCCTCAAAATTAGTCCCTTCCTCCATCCATGTTACGAAGTCTTTCAGGTCTTTATCACCAATACTTTTTTGAGGGGCCTTTAAAGATGTGCGTTTCCCCTGGCGCTCTAGGGTACTCGGCGCCTCCCGCCCCAAACATGCTTCAATACCTCACTTGTCAGGGAACGTATGCTTCAATTAGCCGGTTTCCCAACCCATCACTCATTACAATCTAGAGATGGTAGCACTAGATCAGTGGCCGGGGAAAACTGTGGCTCGCGAGCCACATGCGGCTCTTTGGCCCCTTGAGTGTGGCTCTTCCACAAAATACCACGTACAGGCGCACGTACAGTGCGATTGAAACTTCGTGGCCCATGCGCAGAAGTTGGTTTTCAGCCTGGGCGAGTCTATTTTGAAGAAGTACTGTTGATATTTGGCTCTGTTGACTAATGAGTTTGCCGACCACTGAGATAGACGAAACAAGTATACAAGATGAGTGTGGATGGGAGAGTTGGAAGGGGTCGACTCAGAGAACGTACCTCAATCAGACTGAGGACGTTTTTAGCAAAGGCCCGCTTAGGAGTACCCTAATTAAGTTAATAACAACGTACCTACCTATATAGTTTAAGTTTAAAAAATTTGGCTCTCAAAAGAAATTTCAATCATTGTACTGTTGATATTTGGCTCTGTTGACTGAGTTTGCCGACCACTGCCCTAGATTGAAGTGTTGTATCAGATGGACAAGACGCCTTAATCAGCCAATTAGTTAGGATTCATCTTTATTTCGCGCAGGTTCAGAGCAGATTACCTCTGTCAGATTCTGAACAAACACAGGAGGGAATATTTCCTTTTTATATCCTTCTAGTTCTTTGTGTAAGACAGCTTGTAACCTTGAATAGGTATCGTACCTAACAAACACCTGTCATATCTATACAGACAACTTGTAACTTTGAGTACCATATCATATCTATACAGACACCTGTAACCTTGGATGAACAAACACTTGGCAGAATATGTGAATTAATATCAGTATCAGTGTATCAGCCACTTTAGATGGCTAGCTTGCAAGGTCAGACAGTTAAGCTTATCTTTTCTACTCAAACAAAACCCAGTTATTTTACCGTCTAAAAACAACAGAGTTGACCTACAGAATAAGAGACTAAGAATAACAGAGTAGTTCAAAGGAGGGATTACTATGTTTCAGAAGAAGGAGGGGGAAAAAAGGCGGGAAAACCGGTCTTTATTATCTCCCACAAACAGACCTGGGATAATTCGCCTGCAGACACCAGAAACCCCGTCTCGGGGAGCGTCTGCAGAAAGGTACCTGCCATGGCCTGGAACCGGCTCGGCCGCGTCTCCTCTGGCACAGCCTCCGCCAGGACCGCTTCACAGCCTCCCTCTGTCGCCACCGGGGCACCCCCTTAATGACGCCATCGCCGCCCACCTACCTGAGCGACTGTCCCCGAGGCCACGATGTGGCCCAGCAGTAGCCCGGCAGGGTTTGGCTCAGACGCCGGGTCCCCAGGGTCGGCCGCAGCCATGCCGGAGACGCACCTCCCCGAGCGGCGCCGGGAATGAGTGGAACGCCCGCCCGACGCGCCGCGCGCTTCGATGACGTCACGGGGCGTGTCCGCTCAGGCGGAAGCCCGGGAAGCGCCCCGCAGGCTCGCGCGCCTCCCGGGTCGTCTCCGGAGTCCGCAGTGAGCAGGTCCGGGGCTCCCGGGTCCCCCGCGGGCTCTGGCGGCGTCTAGCCTCGGAGCGGCTGCTGCAGCGGCAGGGCCTGGTGGTCGGGCCGCCTGCCCTTCCCTGTCTTCCTCGCCCGGATTCCGAGTTCTGCCGGAGGTGCCGGCGGCGGGGGGGCGCGCAGCCGGGAGGCCGGTGGGGTGGCTGCGCGCCTGGACCGCGCGGTGACAGCTGCACTTCCTTCCCGCAGGGGCCCGAGCCGCGGTGCCAGGATGGGAAACAGTGCCCTCCGCGCTCACGTGGAAACCGCGCAGAAAACCGGGGTCTTTCAGCTGAAGGACCGTGGGCTGACCGAGGTGAGTGAGGCTGGGAGGGACCGGACTGGGGGTTACACGGGGGAAGGGTGGCGGGGGCGGTGAAGTTCACCGGCGAGGGGTTCTCCGCGCTGTGAGCCCCTTTCTCCAGTTCCCTTCAGAGTTACAGAAGCTGACGAGCAATCTCAGGACCATCGACTTATCCAACAACAAGATCGAGAGCCTGCCGCCTGTGATTATCGGGAAGTTCACGCTGCTCAAGAGCCTCTCCTTGAACAACAACAAACTGAGTATGGCTCTGGCGTCTCGGTAGCTTTTGCTACTACGGTCGGCTGTGAAGGAGGGTGGTGTTCTCTTACAAGCTAATGTTTTGTTATGAAACCGTTCCGGCTGCTCCAGACGCAGGAGAATGTCAGAGTCCCTGAAGTTTTCTCTTTCCTGTAGTTACATCTACAAGCCGCCTCTGGTGGTAAAAGGATTGGGACTGGGGAGATTTGGGCGGGGCAATGGGAGGGGAGGGACTTTCCAAACGCCACGAAATTGCTGTCAGGTTGTGCGGAGGCTCCTGCACAAACTATACACATACACGCTTTCTTGCATTTTGATGGCACTCTCCCTTTCTGAGGACTATGTTGGTAAAAATGCAATACTTAAAAATGGCACACGTGGGAATTCTGTGTATATTAACAAGAGGCATAGCAGGCTGCCATGTAGCTTTTATAAACTTCATCAGAGGCGGTTTCAGCTGTATCAGATTCAGGTTTCTGTTTTTTTTTTCTTTGCCAGCTGTTCTTCCTGGTGAGTTATGCAATCTGAAAAAACTGGAGACGCTAAGCCTGAACAACAATCACTTGAGAGAGTTGCCATCTACCTTTGGGCAACTGTCTGCCCTCAAGACCCTGAGCCTCTCTGGGAACCAGCTGCGAGCACTACCACCCCAACTTTGTAACCTGCAGCACCTGGATGTGGTGGATCTCTCCAAGAACCAGATTCGGAGCATACCTGACATAGTGGGGGAGCTGCAGGTCATCGAACTCAACCTCAACCAGAACCAGGTCGAGAGCTTAAGGGTTCCTTTCTAATATATATCCTGAATAATGTTTTTCTCTAAACTGTAATCATGGAGCTGGGCATCAGAAGCTGGATGAGAAGTATATTCTATGGGCTGGGCTAATTTCAAGGCCCAAAGTCCTGTGGAGAGAGTTGACACACTGGTTGTGTTGGTTGTGTAGGTATTTTACAGAGGTTGGGATGGGTAACGGGGTGCTAACTTCAAAAGTTAAACTACTGTCTCACAAATCTTGAAGAGTTCTTCAGATGCTTTTCAAACATGTCTCCAGTCATCTAACAAGGAGCTGTCAGGCCCAGCCAGCGTGGCTCAGTGGTTGAGTGTTGACCTATGGACCAGGAGGTCACTGTTCAATTCCCGGTCAAGTCATATGCCCCGGTTGCGGGCTTGAGTGCAGGAGGCAGCCGATCAATGGTTCTCTTTCATCATTGATGTTTCTCTCTCTCCCTCTCCCTTTCTGAAATCAGTAATCCTCTAATAAAAGAGAAACATGGTAATTGGCGTACGACCACTACCCTACCCATTGGCTAATCAGGGCGATATGCAAATTAACTGCCAGCCAAGGTGGCGGCCAGCAGCCAGGCAGCTTGAAACTAACATGAGGCTTGCATGCTTCAGTGACGGAGGACTCCAACGTTCCCCGCCTGCCTTGCTGGCCTCTGAGCTTACAGTTTAAAAAACATTGTAACAAATATAGAAGCTAAACAAAACCCCAGAAACCAGCTTTCAGAGAGCTGGGATCTCAGAGCTGGAGTTGATACAGAGTTTCGATTATAGAACTGAAACAAACCAGATACCTGTTTTCAGCAGCTGAGGCCTCAGAGCTGGAGCCAAGCCTCAGAGCTAAAGCTAGCCCAGAATAAAAAGAAAAAAAGGAGCAGTTGGGAGCTTCAGTCCCAGCCTGAAAACAGCCCTCAGCCCCTCACCCAGACTGGCCAGGCACCCCAGTGGGGACCCCCACCCTGAAGGCTGTGTGACCAGCTGCAAATAGCCATCATCCCCTCATCCAGGCTGGCCAGGCACCCCAGTGGGGACCCCCACCCTGATCCAGGACACCCTTCAGGGCAAACCAGCTGGTCCCCACCCATGCACCAGGCCTCTATTCTATATACTAAAAGGGTAATATGCCTCCCAGCACCGGGATTAGCGGAACTGAGAGGCCTCCCGGCACTGGGATCAGCGTGACAGGGGCAGCGCCCAAACCCCCTGATCGCCCTGCTGCTCTGTGTGTGACAGGGGAAGGCGCCCCAACCCCCTGATCGGCCCTGCTCTGTGCCTGATAGGGGGGAGCTCCCCAACCCCCTGATCACCCTGCGGCTCTGTGTGTGACAGAGTGTGGTGCCCCAACCCCCCCACCCCATGGGCCCTGCTCTGTGTGTGACGGGGTAGAGCCATAACGTCCCCATCGGCCCTGCCCTGAGTGTGACAGTGGCAGCGCCCCAACCCCCTGATCGGCCCTGCTCTGTGCGTGACAGGGGGGTGCTCCCCAACCCCCTGATCGGCCCTGCTCTGTGCGTGACATGGGGCAGCGCCCCAACCCCCTGATTGGCCCTGCTCCGTGTGTGACAAGGGGTGGCGCAGCAACCTCCCCATCGACCCTGCCTTGAGTGTGACGGGGCGGTGCCCTAACCCCCCAATCGGCCCTACCCTGAGCGTGACTGAGGGTGGCATCGCAACCTCCCCATCGACCCTGCCTTGAGTGTGACGGGGCGGCGCCCCAATTCCCCAATCGGCCCTGCTCTGAGCCTGACCAGGGGCTGCACCTAGGGATTGGGCCTGCCCTCTACCACCTGGGAGCAGGCCTAAGCCAGCAGGTCGTTATCTCCCGAGGGGCCCCAGACTGCGAGAGGGCACAGGCCAGGCTGAGGTACCCCTCTCCTCCCCCAAGTGCACAAATTTTTGTGCACCGGGCCTCTAGTATACATATATGTATGTATATATATATGGAGCTGCCAGAAAGATAGAGTGGAAAAGAGGCTTATACTCATACGTTCTCACAGTTAGACATTTGAGGTAATCTGTTGTCCTTTTTTGGACATCTTTGTCAATGTGTGTTCTGCTTTTGCTAAGAAACCATCAGCAATAGGCATTCTGGAGATAGCTCATTTCCTTGTTGGACAGCTTTGCTTGTCATATTTGAAATTTGTTTCCATTACTTCGGAAGCTCTTTGATTATTATGTATAACTAGAGAAACAATCTTTGGTTTAGACATAAGACACAGATGTTGAAACATTAAACATAGTGAGATGGGTGGCCTTTAGTTTTTCTAGTGTCTATACTTCTAGATCTGCAGTCCAATACAGTAACCATTAGCCACATGTGGCTATTAAAATTCATTTGAATTCAAAATTCAGTTCCTCAGTTGCCACAAGCCATATTTGAAGTGTTCAAACACCATGTGTGACACTGGGCTACCATATTGGGTAGCACAAATACAGACTATTCCAATCATTGCATAAAGTTTTATTGGGACAAAATTATCCTAGATTGTAATGACCTTATTTATGAAATTCAGTCTGTCTTTGAAGATATTAGCCTCCTCTTTTCCTTAAATGAATATTATTTTTTTAAAATATATTTTTGATTTCAGTGAGGAAGGGAGAGGGAGAGAAAGAAACATCAATGATGAGAGAGAATTGATGATTGGCTGCCTCCTGCACGCCCCACACTGGGGATCGAGCCCACAACCCAGGCATGTGCCCTTGGCCGGAATGGAACCTGGGACCCAACGCTCTATCCACTGAGCCAAACCCGGTAGGGCTTATATGAATATTCTTGAATGTTCTTGAGCTTCTTGGACTATTTTGTGGGGGGGAAAACTTAAAAAAAATTGTTAAGCAACAAGTATTAGTTGAGCACTCATTCCACATTCACCTATGCTGATGCCTTTACCAGTGGTTCTCAGATTTTAGTGTGCCTTAGAATAACCAGGAGAGCTTGTTAAAAGAGATCACTTGACCCCTCAATGTTTTGATTCAGTAGGTCTGGGGTGGGGTTTGAGAGTTTGCACTTCTAAGAAGTTTCCAGGTGATAGTCTGAGATGATACCGGGTGGAGTAAATATTTGGTGACTTGGAGCATTTAATGGGCAAAGAGGTGAATGAATTAAAAATACTTGCTTGTTATTGAATTTGAGGGCCCAAAAAAAGAGTGATGCTGTGGAGAATAGACATGCTAAGTTGATTATGATGGTGCAAATGGAAATGTACTAAAAATTGGAGAGGAGTGGAATAGAGGTGAGAGGTTTGAATGTAGATACAGATTTTGAATTCTTAACAGAAATGACGGCTTTAAGAATGAATGGATGAGCTTTCTAAGAGACAGTTTAGACAGATGATCAGATATTAAATAATAGAGGCTACTGCTTGAAAAATGTCCATAGGAACAAGAAAGGACGAAAAAAAAAAAGGAAGTTAAAAATGAGGAATTATTCAAAAGTTAGAAAAACTCAGTACTTAGATACAGTAGGAAGTTTCAAGGAAGGGATAGTACAATCAAGCATTTATATACTCATAAAAGATTGGCAGTGAATGTAC